TTGGTGATATTGTTGCTCTTGGCTAACCAAGAGCCTGGTATCATTGCTCTCCACTAACCTACTCTTCCCCCCCCCCTCTCTCTCCCATACTCCATCTAATCGCCTTTTCTAACGCTACCACTACTCTCTCCTCCTACCTCCCTCTCCACTCATCTTCCACCACCTTTTTCTCTCCTCCCCTCCCCACTTACCATCTTCTACTAACCTCATCTACTCCCTCCCACCTTTTCCATATCCTTTTCTCCCATTCTATCACCCTCCTCTCCCCTTTCCTCTCCCAACTACAACCCCATCATCCCCCCCATCTCCCACTTTCCTTATCTTTTTTCTTCCCACTTATTTCTCTCCTTCTTCATCACCTTTCCAACCCCCCACCCACCCAACTGCGAAATTTTCTGTTTTTTTATTCTTTTCTTTTCTTTTGATTTAAATTTTTCCTTTATTCCAAAAATTCGAGTTTTCTTCTTCCCTATTTCTTTTCTCATTTTTCTTATTTATTTTTATTTTTATTTAATTTATTCTGAAAATTCAAATTTTTCTGCGGCACCCTAAAATCTGATTAAGACTTAGTCATCCTTGCTTTCGGCACACATTTTGACCCCGTGGGGATAACGAAGTGCTGCTGAAATTTTCTGTTTTCTTCATACTTAGTCTTTTTCAGCACATTTCGACCCCATGGGAGATAAGATAAGACAAACGGTCCGGCAAGACCGATCCAGCATGAGAACGAAGAGAAAGAGATTCACCAAGCAACACACTCCCTTACGCACGCTCAAACCATGAGAAACAGATCCACACTTAGTAACCTAATGATAAACCAAAACACCAATTACAACCCACTCACGCGGCCACTCCTCGACGTGTTTCGTCCACCCCACTAGCGGACTCATCAGGAGGATACTACTACAATCTCCTCACCCTGCACGATCTGGATACAGCACAGCTACTGAGGAGGGCATTCCAATGCCTTGCCCCCTTTATAGTCAACCAACTCCCACCCTTTCTCCCATCAAACTAACAGCTAGATCGTCACAATAGGCAAGAAGTACGA